CAATCGCGACGCCCCCCTGACCTCGCTTCCATCTTGTGTTCATATTATTTTGTTCGCTTGTCTTTGCATAATACAAAAAATCGTTATGTAAATTGTCTAATATAGTAAGCTCATCGGCGTATAACCAATGTTCTGAGATGGCTAAAACATCAACACTTTCAAGTAACTTTTGCATATAAACGAAGTTCGATTTGATGCCTCCGCAGTTCCAACATGCAATGTTTATGAAGGCGGTTCTCTGGATGGATCTCTGTCAGATTTCACTGACCGTTTTTCCCATTTATCTTTGGAGAGCCATTCCCTTACATTTTTCGGCCAAAAATTTGGTTCAAGAATCTCCTTAATATCTGAAGCTCTGACATTTATACGCACAGCAACGGTACCACTTCGCCGACTTTTCATCATTCGTACGAAAGTCGGCTGAACGCCTTTGTAGTGCTCGCGTGAACCCCGTCTTTAACACCACCTAGATACAATCGTTTTGTGTTGCGCCGTTCCACGCCAATAAACTCCTTTGAATCAGTTAAACTCGCTTCATTTTTATTTTCACTTGTTTTTGAACTTCTAATTACTTGACTTTGTTTTGAACAATCAGTATTATTCGACGGCGGTCCCGGGTCATTTGCGCTCTCGCCTTTGTTACTATCATCATCATTAACTAGAACTGTATTAATTTGTCCTTGGCTTTGTTCACAATCAATAACACTCACAATAGTAACTTGCTCATTGTCCTCATTACTACCACTCGCTATAGCGGCAAAGGATCGTGGCTGAGTACCATTGTTAACAACTCCCTTGGGTCCTGGGGGTGCAAGTTCAGGGTTGCCAAACTCTACGGAATTATTAAAAAAATTTTTCGTTAATATTTTAATACTTTCCTTTGACTTTCTCTGTTCTGCCATTTTAGAAATATTTTCCATCTCGACGCAGATGCTTTCGCATTTCGAATTTAGAGATTCTTTTGAAGCACGGCAATTAGCTCGCAACGAGTATACTGTTTTTGAGTCTTTTTCGGCTAAATGTAATTGCATATGATTAAGTTCGTCTTTCAATTTGTCAATATCTGTTTTGTGCTGAATATTTGTTTCAACAAATTTTGCTTCTAAATCTTCGACAATTTCAAGTAGTTTCTTGAGAGTAGGTTGATCCAAAGCGTTCGCTTCCTTATCTCCGAGAGCGTAACTACAATCCGTATTCCTGACCTTGCGAAATATGTCCTTTAGCGCTTGACTTCCTTCGCCACTCTCGTAAAATTTCACAAGCACTACAATATCTTGTGCGAGCTTCTCTGACGCCGACGTTCCCCTAGTTCTAGTAATTCTCCTCTGAAGTTCGCCTTTTGGACAGCAACTCCACTTAGAACGGACCAGTTGCAATACTCTATCCCTTAAGCCAGCTAAATCATCGGTATCTCGTGCGATTAGCTGTCGTACGACAATCTCGCTCGATGTACTTTGCAGACGCCTTCCCAAATCATCAATAAATCCGGTCAAATTTTCGTCAGAATCACAATTATTATTACAGTCTGTTTGTATTTGAGAGTTTGTATCAACAATTGTTGATAAAGCCTCGGCTAAATTAGCCGATTGAGAGTTTCTTCGCATGGCAGGTGAAGAGCCTTGAATAATAGCTCCTTCCGTCATGACGCCATGTTATAGGCCTTCCTCTTGGAACGTATTTATGAGCACACTATTCGCTCCTCAGTTCTTCTACAGGAATGTTCACGTCCATTTTCGGTTAGATTTCGCTGTACTTGAGTCAAAAACAAACTTTGTAGCATTACAAAATTCTCCCTTGTTTTAATATTTTCAAACGTTACGAAAAAGGTGTTGAAAATAAACTATATTTCTCACATGCAAAATGCTCGCTCCACGGCGGCCATTTCGCGCGCAAGTGAAGGTTACCATTTTTCCCATGATGCTTTGGTAACATGCAAGTTGCCTATTCAAGAAGAAAAACTAGACTTTCGCAAAGTCCTTTTCAAATGACGTCACTCAATTTTGCATCCTTCTCAGCTTTCCGACTTGTAAAAAAATATGGAAAAAGTTCCGAGGCGGACTTGTGGCATGCAAGTCTAGAAGAAAAGCTAATAACTTTTAAACCAGACGCCAGAATAAATTTGTAACAAGAAAGGCCATTTAATACAATCTTAATGAATTAGTAGATTGTTTAGACATGCATTAACAATACCTCTTACTATATTTTTGTAGAGCGAAATTTTGAAAAACAATAAATTGACATCATTAGTTGCTGTATATGCTTATTATTAAAGCAAAACATTTAATAATTAAAGTGTGACTCGATAATATTGTTGGCTGTGCCATTGCTATCAACCATTAGCATTTATTTTAAATCAAGTGCTTTTGTTGCCATTTGTTTGCATTGTAAGGAAGATACTGCATCTGTTTTATTTTGACTATTATTCTATTGTAATTATTAATTTTGTATCACAATGAATGTTTGTGATGAATGTTTATGACAATGTGAACTCCGGCTGTATTAAACAGGCTGAATAGGCTAGCCACATGTACGTAGTGCGTACGTATTTTTAAAGCAATTATATGCAGCAAACCTTGAACACATATTAATATTAAAAAAACTTACCTTCATTAACGTCGGCGTAAAGCGGCAAAAGCACGTAAAGCGGCAAAAATGAAATACATTTGCTAGAAATGCTAGAAATGTGTGTGATGTCGCTATCGTCATGCAGTCGTTAAAATGCAAATTTAAATTTGACCAATCAGACCAATTTATGGCGGCCCCGTCAAAGTCTTGAAGCGTGCGTTGTTTGCCTTATATAGAGACAGCGTTGGTTGAAATTACTCATTCGCAGCATAAACGTCGCCATCTAAGGAATCAATATTTTAATCTTTGTCCTAATTTGACTTTCGAATTGTAAGTGCTCAAACATAACACTCTTATTAACAAGTTTTGGAACATTTAGTGAGTGATTTTATATATCATGATTTTATCGTACGTATACAAATAAAATATTTTACACTCTGCCCCAGCAACCCCGCGTCTTGTTTGCATTAAAAAAATCAGTGCGCGTGCACAAGTACTATAGTGAGTGGCAATTTTTCATCCCACGGGGATTCATTCTACCTTCCATTCATACATTTGAAAACGTATATTCACTTCCTAGTGTTCGTTTACGAACACTAGTATACTCATGTATTATTTATTATTTATAGCACTGTCTTCATAGCAAAAGCCTTTGCCGCATTTGACCCAATGGTTCTATGCTCGCCGAAAGCGTATTTTAAAGGCCCACATCCTTGGGTCCGCGGGAGAACTTTAGTTTTCAAATCATAGTAAAATGTAAACGTTGGCCCAGGAGGGTGGTTAATTGCGCCTGGATTTGACTGATGTGAAATTAAACCATACAGCAAATTCCTACGGTTTTCGTGCTGAAGGAAGATAATAATCTAATACCTTACATTTCTTGTATTCGTTGCTAGCGGTCCAATGTTAAAAAAAGGGAAAATCCTTGTCCTGGAATTAGATTGCTGTGATCTATGAAAGTTTCAATCTTTTAGCATATTAATATTTAATGGTATATTCTGCTCCTCTTTTAACGTTAAGGGCCCCAGTATTATTATTATTATTATTATTATTATTATTATTATTATTATTATTATTATTATTATTATTATTATTATTTTTATTATTATTATTATTATTATTATTATTATTATTATTATTATTATTATTATTATTATTATTATTATTAGAAATGTTAGACACTATAGGAATGGATAAAAAGCAGCAACCATACTCATCCACAAGAAAGGCAACAATAATGACCCTTCAAATTTCCGCCCCATAACACTCGAATTCATACCTTTAAAAGTATTTACATCTTGTCTCCGAAACGCAGTATACTCCTTCCTCGCATCTAATAACTTCGTCGAACACAACATACAAAAAGTCTTCACCCCCAACCTATCTGGCACTCTAGAACATACTGCGCAAATGGCTGACATTATTAATAAAGCTCGGATCAGACAACGCTCTGTTGTCATCACCCTACTTGATCTTAAGAATGCCTTCGGCGAAATCCATCACAACCTCATTCAATCCGTACTTGACTACCACCATATCCCTGATCATATAAAATTTGTTATAAAAAGTTTATATACTGATTTCCAAACCTCGATAATTACCTCTGAATTCCGCACTCCTTTTATGACAGTTGGCCGTGGCGTATTGCAAGGAGATTGCCTCAGTCCTCTTCTTTTTAACATGTGCTTCAATACATTCATTCAGAATATCAAGGCTGAAAAGTACCGTCAATTTGGGTTTTCCTTCAAATTACTAAATCCCATCCATTGGTTCCAGTTTGCTGATGACGCGGCTGTAATTACTGGCCAAGAATCCGAAAACCAACATCTATTAAATCGATTTTCTATCTGGTGCCAATGGTCCGATATGATTATCCGAGTTGACAAATGCAGTACCTTTGGCATTAAAAAAGCGATCACCAAATCAGTTCAGTACTTGCCAAAACTCCTCATCAGCAATCAACTAATACCAAAAATCACCATTGGAGAATCATTTCAATATTTAGGACGTTACTTTGATTTCCACATGTCGAATGATAATCACAAAACTGAACTAACCACCCTACTTAATGAGCTAATGTCTGATATTGACTCAAAGCCACTACACCCCAAAAATAAACTGCTCCTCTACAGTCGCTACGTCTTGTCCAAGTTAGCCTGGCACTTCACCGTCGCAACACTCTCTAAAACATGGGTTACTGAAAATATCGACTCTATTGCCAACAAATATATCCGCAGATGGCTTGAAGTACCAATATCAGGAACACTAAGTACTGTCTTTCTAACAAATAACAAATTTGGCCTGAGTATTTATCCTCTATCTGTAAAATTTATCCAGTGTCAAACAGTCCTCCGAAAAGCTTTAAAATCTTCTCCTAATGAATCAACTAACGACCTGTGGAGAGCAACCAGTAACCATACTAATATCCAATATGACGCTTATAACTCTACTAAGGAAGTTCTCAAAGATTTCCGTTCTGGACACGAAAACAAACTCCTAAACCAATTAACCCGTCAAGGATCCTTTTTCTGCAGCGTCACGAAGTTCGCTTTACCTCAGCTTAACAAGGTGTGGTCCATCGCCCAATCAGAGCTCCCGAAAAACATTTATAACTTTACCATTCGTTACATTAACAACTCTTCCGACGCGCAAAAGCCTAAACAGATGGGCAATATCTTCAAATTCAGACTGTTCTTTTTGTCTTAGCCCTGAAACATTACTACACATAGTAGCTGGATGTCAGTTTTATCTCGACCGATTTACGTGGAGACACAATTCAGTCCTGAACTTTCTTGCTCATCAGTTAGAAACTATTGACGGTTCTACTCTCTACGCCGACCTAAATGGATTCAAAAGCCCTTCAATACTTACTGGTGATACGTATCGCCCAGATTTGTTATTATCGTGCTCAAATGGTTCCTTATATGTGGTTGAACTCACCACTGGTTATGAGACAAACCTCAACAACAACGTAAAACGGAAGAAGGATAAATATAGAGAATTATTGAGACAGCTAGGCAAAAATTTTAACCAAGTTAAATTTATAAATCTCTCCATCAGCTCTTTAGGTATTTTTGCAGAAGAATGTTATACATTTTTAGACATGTTAGATAGTATTGGTCTTGACAAAAACCCCCAAATGTACTGCGTTAGGAAAATGATGACTATTGCTATTAGAACTACATATTACATTTTCTGTTGCCGAAATAAGGAATGGGAAAATCCGGATTTACTAACAATTTGACTTATCTCATTGTATATATATATATATATATTGCATGCACTTTGTTCTGTTATTTTAGTTGAGTATAATTGTGATTCAAATAGCCAACCGTAAGTTACCTTTATGAGAGAGATTTACGATTGTATATGTATGTAAAGAAAAACATTTAATAAAGTTTCCATTATTATTATTATTATTATTATTATTATTATTACGCTAAGACCTGATATAGTGGTGGATTTTAAGGGTTCTGTATATGTGGTTGAATTAACTGTTCCCTACGAAACCAATTGTACGAAGGCTAAACGTCGCAAGAAAGGAAGATACAGACATCTAAGATCTGAGCTGATCACGGCGTGTTATGCGTTTGAAGTTATTACACTTGAAGTAACCACTCTAGGGTTTGTGTCGAAAGATATTGACAGATTTCGGAGATTATTACGAACACTTGAAATGAACGACGAACGTATTATTAAAAAATGTATGGAGGTAGCTCTGAGAGCAACATTCTACATTTACTGCAGAAGAAACAAGCCGTGGAATAACCCAGACTTACTGAATTTTTATTAGCTACTATTGATACAAAGTGTAGAGAATGGACCTATCTGTCTAATATAGTGAACTGTTTCTCTATTTTCCTGATTTAATTGAAAGTCTAATTATGTGATATATTTGTATAAATTATCATGTTATTAATAAAGATTTCTGTTGTTTAAAAAAATTATTATTATTATTATTATTATTATTATTATTATTATTATTATTATTATTATTATTATTAAATATGTGTATATGTATAGAAATGTATACAAAAGTATAATGTATATATTGTTGAGGAAAGACAAATAGTGTATTGTGTATATTGTAAGGGGTTAGGTTTCAAGTGGGAAATCCTGTTCCGTTTTCCTGTCACATAGTTACCTTCGTCAATGTAATTTTTTTTTGTATGGTTGCCAAATTCAATAAATAAAATAAATAAATAAATAAACTGATACTTGAAGCGTTCCTTCCCTTTACGACACTTCAAAGTTCTCGCCGATGTTAACTATCTATTGTGTAAGTGTCTAAAGTCTAAACGAACGAAATTCATGGTTTGAATCCTGAATAAAAAAGTCGGGCACGTGCTCGTGCCTAATTGCCAACTAAAATGTCGAAACTGGGAAGCTTTAAAGTTCCATCGCTCATTAAGAAAAGACGAATCGATCATGGTTTGCCAACATTTAGCACATTTAACTCCTGTACATAAGCATTTTCTAACAGAGTTTGGTATAATAATTTAATTGTACATAATCACAGCACCAGTTGACTGTTTGGACTTGGACCTTGTTGTTTTGTTTATTGAAATGTAAGTTTGTTTATTGGGAGATTATTCTATGTATAAGATGTCTAAATTTTTCCAGTTTTATAAGCAGGCAAAACATTTACAATTGCACTGAGGTATGGATGGGTATACAACTTACTAATGGACTTTATGTTACCGTTAAATTTTAGCGTTAAATTTTTCCGGAAAATGTTACATAATGGGTAATTCCATAATGGGCGAGAAGGGAGGGGGTGTACATACACTAGTTTTACATAATGGGGGCTTAAATGTAGTTATTCATACCATTTTTTACTTCAATTTTGCACAAAATTCCTTAATATTTACCACGTTCCGCAATTCCAGGGCCCCCTCTCCGCAAGTTGGGTTCCCTTTTTACTATTATTTGGGGGTGTTACACCCCTCCCCCCCCCCATACACCCCAGTAGTTATGTAGGTTAATTGAGGTTAATATTTGAGTTATCAGGGTTGTTAATAGTATTAGAATATCGTAAATGTATGTAGCTTTTTTATGACATAACACACGCCCTTCGTGGAAATCATAGTTGAAGGGACTAGTGTGTATAATTTTTAAATAAATATAGTTTTACCAAGCTACATACCTACCTCGTAAAGGAAAAACTATTTTAAAACTTTTATCCGCGTTTTACCCTCTTTTCCGCGTTTTACCCTCTTTTCCGTTTCAGCTTTTCCGGTTCCGCCATTCCGGTTCCGCCGGTCCGTTCCGTTTCCGCGTTTTACCCCTACCCCTATCATCCGATCACTGAGTTGTTGCATCATTTAAATTACGCACGTGCAGTCTCCGATTTTATACTAATATATTTAGCGTTTTTGTTGTGATACGTTAAATGATAGATTCCGCATGCGTAACCGATTAAAGCGTAAAAAGTGCGCATGTGCAACAAGCTTTTACATCTTACAAGCAAAGAACCAAATGTTTTAGCTTAAATTCGCTGATTGCAAGTAGAGCATGTTTGTCCATTTTTAAATGGGAGCGCAACTATGCTATTACAAACTAATTGCATGGCTTTTTGGGAGATTAGTAATTAAATGACCCCTTACCCTCGGCAGGTTTGCGGAATTCCCTCGGGGATTCCGCAAACCTGCCTCGGGTTACGGGGCCATTTAATCACTAATCTCCCAAAAAGCCATGCTATTACTTATAATTATTATTGATATTAGACATATTGTGTATTATATATTACTATTATTATTACAAGGTTATAAAATATACAAAAACAGTTAGTTTGAATAAATATAAAAAACGATTGATGAATGAAAAATAAAAACACCAAGCTTTTCTATTCCATCGTTTCTCCGCTGTTTTACATTAATTCGTTCACTCGATCAACCATTTTATTGATATCCATAATGCATTTCTTTTCCTGTTCTGTAAAGCTGTCGGGAATCTGCGATTGAACTGTATTCCTATCAACTTGTGGGTGCGCAAACTTTCGTCTGGACTCAAGCAATCGAAGAAATACCTTTTCATGTTCTTTTGACCACGAGAACTCTTTCTGCAATTTATTCCACTTTGTGTTTCCTTCACGTCCTTCTTTCGTATCCTTTTTCTTTTCCAGCCATGCCGTCATGTTTGTGAATACTGTGCGGGATCCGAATTTCTTACCATGTGGGTAGATGTATGTGGCAAGGTCCTTCTCGAAGTCAAAGGCAATCTGTCCTGTACAAAGAGCACCTTTTATCTCCTTTAATTCGTTTTCAGTTCTTTCGTGATCATTTAGTGTTTCTGTAAGTTTGTTCTCGTGTCTCTGTACTTTTTCATTCAACTGGGTTACCCTTTGATCCAGTTTGAAAATCTCTCCCACCAAACTGGCAATTCGAGTTTGATCACCCGTTTCCTGTTCTTCTTTTTCTTCTAAATATTTAACAATCTTCTCTGCTCTTTTTTCGTTTATGACCAAGTCTTCCTTTAAGTCTTCTATTTCTAGTATAGCTTCTCCACCGCGTTGCCGGTCAATTTCTTCAATGATTTTAACTTTGTTAAAATCATCTGCAATTGTTTTATGTAGGTCTTTTGCAAGCACTTCCATCTATTTTCTTCCAAATATCTGTAGCAATATATATAGAAACATGAAGATAAGAATTGATCCCATTTAAAGATCCCATATGTGACTGGAAAGCCAAAAGTCAGCCTTAAAAGCCTTATCGGTCTCTGACTTTTGACACAATATTTTTCGTGCAAAAGTTTAAGCGAGTGTATATACCGGGTGGCGCAAAAAAATGTTGCCCTGTTTGATTTATTTTAACTTAAAAACTAAAAGAGCGCTAGCTATTCCACCTAAACTACGTGCATTGCCCTGTCCAACGCCGCCGGTATAACCTCACGTGCATTATTTAGCATATTCTAAACAAATTGAAAGTCTTTGGTCCTTCGTTAAACGAGGCGTATTTATAAAAAACACGCCACGTTTTTTCCTTGGAACATGAAATTTAAACGCAGCTATCTCGGTCAATATTGCACGAAAATGTACAGGGCGTATATCAAAATTTAAGTTAGACAATGCTAAATGTAATGCACATAGTTTTAGGTGTAATAGCTCGTTTAGTTTTTAAGTTAAAATAAATCAAACAGGGCAACTTTTTTTTGCGCCACCCAGTATATCACCAAACGTTTTGTAATGACTCCCTATCTTTACTTCAGAATGTAAGCAGTGGTATTGTGTAACAATAATGCATTTGCAAGGATCGCAACGTGTGCGGATGTTGTGAGTCATAAGCTCAGCTGTAAATATATAGTAGCCAATAAAATTTGACAGTAAAACAAGCCAAATTCATGGTTGCTAGGGAAAATTTATCATTAAAAACACAAAAAAAGAAATATTCACAAAGTCACTCTTTTTGTAAATAAAAACTACAAAGATGTAAATAAGATAAAAATTTACTAAAATTAATTGTTGGCAGACAAAAGACAGCAGCGTAAGTTTTCATCGGTGTGCATTTATTATTAATAATTATTAATATTGCTTAATTTACATTTGTAAACTTTAATAGCTTTAATTTACTGTACTTTATCACTAAAAGCCATGTCATTCCATGTATATCGACATGTGCAATCATAGTTAATAGAATAAATCGTTTGGAAACTCATTAGAATAACAATATACACTTAATATGTCTGCACCCGAGGGAAATAGTTAGTTCTGTTTTCCCGAGAATCTCAATGTTTCCCGAGACGAAGTCGATAACCGTGACACGGGACATATACAGCTAATTCAAAAAAGGCTGTCCGTCGAAAAGTCAAAAACCTTAAACGTTGAACCATGAGCGCGCAATGCATCAAGAGAACGCACAATTTGTTTTCACGTTAACTTAGTATTAGTTAACCTCCAAGTTGTGATTGGTTGGACAAGTTAATATATGCTAACAAAGATTTAAGTAACTTAAAATGACTCAAAGGACGTCTTAAAATGAAACTTAAAATAATAAGCAGATTATTTGCACACATATAATTATAGTGATCTCCTTCTTTATGATACGATAACAGGTTTTTGGTTACTCCTGCCTCGTGTTTTGTAAATTGGCACTTGATGAGGATTTTAGCGGCAACCAATGAGTTATTTTGACCGATAGATTTTGTCGATTGAAGCAAATATACAGGGTGAGTAAAAAAAACCTGATACCTTTGATATTCCAATTATAACAAAGGTATCAGTTTTTTTTTACTCACAAAACACATAACATAGTCTTAATCTGCACGTATTGTGATATAGAACAATTCCAATTTGCATGTTATATGATGTCTGATATATGATATTCATTGTCCTGTGTCGATGTTAATGACTGAGTCAATTCGTCCATAAAAACAACGTTTCAGCAATATGACAATACCATCTTAAAAGCAAACTGAAACCAAAATTGTGCCAAAATCCTGCATATGTCATACAATTAGAGAAGTAAATCATAGGGAACGAACAAACCATTAAATTGAATTATCAAAAATTCCATGGAGATAACTGCTAATTATTTAGTTTGTAGAAACAAAGCATAAGCTGTGGGATTTGCAAAGGCGAACATATTCAAACGATCAACATTAATTTCTAAACAAGTAAACTACATGTAGATGAAAGCTAAAAGAAGTAGGACGTAAAAATGCCACCTCGCCGTGTACGAAGAAACACATGATATTGCAGGGTCGCGGTCGTGGTAAGGAACTGTGGGTGCAGGTTGCTGTCAAAGCAATTAATAATTAGCAGATAAAATGATTGGAAAAGATCGATGCCCTAATGTGTTCAGGAAGGCGCTCAATCGGGCTTCAACATTGCTCTCGTTTACTGACTCTTTGAAAGCAGCATTTATAATTCAATAATAATTTATATATAAACAAATAAAAGCACGAGAAAATATGGAGATAGCGTAGCCAGGTTTAGACATAAATTTTTAAATAAAAGCACGTTACAAATTGCATTTATGTTAAGCATAGTAAGATTCACAATGACCATGTTGTACGTCATCCATTTCAACTTCTTTTATTACATGACATTTTAAAACTGTATAGTGTATGCAAATAATTGAGTGCATGCTTTAAATTATACAACTGCATTCAAACAATTCTGTGCGCTATATTTTATAATAGCTATGGAAATTAGAGATAATGATCAGTGGCGGCGCCAGGCTTCCAAATTTGGGGGGGCATTTGAGGGGCAAACTCAAATTTTGGGGGGCAAGATAGAATTTTTAAAAAGGTCGCCCCCCCCCCAGGAAATCCCCTCCCCCCTCAAAACGTGGCGATATTCCTAGGAATATTGCCCCCGGGGGGCGAATATCCTAGGAATATCGCCTCCCAGGGGGTGGGGCGAATACCCTAGGAATATCGCCCCTTTTTAGGACATTCGCCCCCCATATATGCGGTGTGGTTTATTCAAATAATTTCGTGATACTTTCATCTTATTATTGCCTTACACGTTTGAGAATTTAACTCTGCAAAACTAAAGCTTTTTTGACTTTTTTTGAAACGTATTATTGGAGTATTGGCAAGTTTTACCATTCAGAGATTTACAAACTAATATTGAAACTGTAAAAAACAGTTTCATGTATACGCGCATTCACTAATGAGTAATGACAACTTATAAGCCATACATTTTCCGATAACGACAGAACGCTTGTGTAGCCTTTAGTCGCTCTTAGTGACTAATAATTTTTTTTGAGGGGGGGCAAAATGGGGGGGGCAAAACGTAATTTGGGGGGGGGGGGCATTTGCCCCCCCTTGCCCCAAATAATTATCATATGGCCAACACGGCAAGAAGATCAGCATCCAATAAGAATCACCAATTTTGCGTAGGTTGAGTCACGATAATAGAGACCTTACGATTTTAAGACGGTAACGCGACGGCAACGGCTACCAATACAATAGATCATTGAAAAGAATTGAGTAATTACAATATACGAATAATTTAGACATTCCAAGCCGCAACAAGTGCAACTTCAAATTGGGTTTAGCAGAACTCTTCCCAACCATAAAACCCGCCGCCATGTCTTCAACTTCCAAAACTGTATTAAATTCATACGATTGATAATATACGACGAACTATCTTTACTACCATTTATTTCAAGGAGTTTGTTTTGGCCGTTGCCGTCGCGTTGCCCTCCTAAAATCGTAAAGTCTCTAATGATATTAATGAGGCTTTACGTTCGCTTATGTGCATGTTTCCGTGCAGGTCAACTATTACAAGACTATAGGAGTGAATGTAAAGGCCCTGTTTATACGTCGTTTTGGTGTCGGGTCAAATTCAATTCAAATCCAAAAAGATATACGAAAAATCCAACAAAAGATCGTCGTAAACATACATTGTAATAATACGAGCTTGTCTCAGATTTAGGCCACGTTTACGCTTCGAGTCTAATGTCTGACCATACGGCAAATATACCATAGCGTAGTGATTTGCATCCGGAGTGCCAAACATATACCACTCCGTTAAAGTGTAAACACAATGCTGAGAAACCTAGTGAAGTTTGAACGAAATTGATATTTATTCAGAGTGGCAAATGTAGTGGTTCGTAGTTAGTACGCTACAACAAACCACGCCGTTATAGTGTAAACACAATATAATCTCTCTCTCAACACCATAGAAACGTAGTAAATTTTAAACGGAGTTGTTAACCGTAGCGCCATAGTGTAAACGCGGCCTTAATTAACAATATATTTAGATTGTCGGGAGAAATAGATTTAACTTAGCCTGCGTAGCAGGTGGTATTCGCGGGCACGAGAGGAAGCTTGAAATACCGAGAAGCTTGAAATACCGCCTGCCCAAAAACTACATATTCTGAGTTCTTCCCGGCAGCTGGGTGCCGGAGCATTCTGATTGGTAGCCTGCGTAGCAGGCGGTATATGATTGGTCAGAATGTTGATTTTGAATTTTTGATTGACAGGAGTACGGAATTAGAATAATTAGTGCTAATTTTAGAAGTTACTGTTGCCGTATTTATAATATAAACTATTGTTATTTTCGTAATTGATACCGATATATCGAGTGATGGCATACACTAACCAAAAGATAACGAATGTATTAATTGAGAATTAAGCGTTGAATTCTTTAATCTTTATCTGGAATCGGAAATCGCTTCGTCTTGAAGAATGAACAACGAATATCAATCCAACATTTCTTGCTTGAAGATGTGATACCGTAATAAAAGTGCAGATTTGAAGATACAGGCTCGTAAATGACACTCTAAGTCGTGTTTTTGATAGCGATTGGAACAAGCCTATTACAAAGTTACGTCTGAAGGGGCCGAAGTTGTGTTCGGCGAAAGGTATGGCTAGTCTATATTTTTGGACCAGGAACTGGTCCCCAATCGTCAACCCAAGACTCTGTGAGGTTTGCTATAGCCCCAATACACAGTCACGTCATTATTCAATGTTTCATTAAAAATCACAACATCTCTCCAATATCATCCATTTATCTCCTTAATGTAATTTTGTTGTACCAGTGGGATGATTTGTCCAGGGCGATTCCGCATGCCGTTCGACCCATGTTCGCCTTTCTCTAGAGTCATTTTTAATTTATGATATTGACCCAATATATCATATCACACT